TTCTTCTTCTTTTCATTCTTCTTTTCATTCTTCTTCTTCTTCTTTTCATTCTTCTTCTTCTTCTTTTCATTCTTCTTTTCATTCTTCTTCTTCTACTTTGCATTCTTCTTCTTCTTCTTTTCATTCTTCTTTTCATTCTTCTCATTCTTCTTTTCATTATTCTTTTCATTCTTCTTCTCATTCTTCTTTTCATTATTCTTCTTCTTCTTTTCATTCTTCTTCTCATTCTTCTTTTCATTCTTCTTCTTCTTCTTTTCATTCTTCTTCTTCTTCTTTTCATTCTTCTTTTCATTCTTCTTCTTCTTCTTTTCATTCTTCTTCTCCTTCTTTTCATTCTTCTTCTTCTTCTTTTCATTCTTCTTCTCATTCTTCTTTTCATTCTTCTTCTTCTTCTTTTCATTCTTCTTCTTCTTTTCATTCTTATTCTTCTTCTTTTCATTCTTCTTTTCATTCTTCTTCTTCTCCTTTTCATTCTTCTTCTTCTTCTTTTCATTCTTCTTCTTCTTCTTTTTCATTCTTCTTTTCATTCATTTCTTTTCATTCTTCTTCTTCTTTTCATTCTTCTTCTTCTTCGTCGTGCCCCGTGACTGCCCAAATGAGTGAAGTGTGCGGTGATTCTAAGTTCGACGGCACTCATCTGCATGTCATACTGACTGACAGTATTATTTCTCTTCCCCAGCAGACTCCAAGGGCATTTAAATTAAAGGTACAGTGTTCTGCACTAATATAAAGGCTCTCTGAAGCCTAGAAACCCTTTTAATAAGTTAAATTTGCAGCGAATAAATTTGCATCAAATCGAATTTCTTCCGCAAATTCGGCAAATCAGCCGAATCGAATTTTTGAATAATTCGCTCATCTCTACTTATATTGGTCCATCTTTGCCCAATGTAAGAATGTATAGCTCATATCTGAGGGGCTTCCAAGGAAGCTAACAATCACAGTAATAGTCAGTGCTACTACAGTGATAGCCGCCATCTTGGATGTTCAAGCAGCTTCTAATCTGCCCACAAACCACAGGGGATCACTCACTACTGCTGCCATTCATAGAACACATATTATTTCAATGAATACAATTTTTTGCTGAAAAATATACTTTATTTATATATATGTAGCATCCTCTAGTGTGCTACTAGAATACTGTAGTGAATTGTAGGTAAACTCATTGTGTATTACTCATGGTAATTGTGTGAGTCTGTGATTGAGGTCGGGTTATTGCAGGTCAGCTGGCTGACTCAACAGGTTGTGGCTCTATTGCCTCCTCCTGACTCTGGAAGACCATAGACCAGCAATGGGCAAACTACGGCCCACGGGCCGTATACGGCCCGGCGGACCTTTTAATCCGGCCGCGGAGCTAGGCTCCCACTAGGCTCCTCTCACAGTCCGCCCTGAAGACCGGTGTAGCATGAAAATCTGTCTCCTATGAGGATCTGTCCCCCTCGACATATCTGCGCATGTGCCGGAGATCGCCGATCGGCTGCTAATGCCTGAAACTGGCACATGCGCAGATACGTCGAGGGGGACAGATCCTCATAGGAGACAGATTTTCATGCTACACCGGAACGGCGCGGGAACACGGCGAGAGGAACACGCGGAGCAAAGGTAAGTGAATTGACACAGGGGGGACTTGGGGACTTAATATGGGGGATGAATTAATATGGGGAATGAATTACTATAGGGGGGGTGAATTACTATAGGGGGATTAATTACTATATGGGGGATGAATTACTATATGGGGGATGAATTACTATATGGGGGATGAATTACTATGGGGGATGAATTACTATGGGCGATGAATTACTATATGGGGGATTAATTACTATGGGGGATGAATTACTATGGGGGATTAACCACTTGCCGACCGCGCATAGCCGAATGACGGCTGCACCGCGGCCGGCTAGTTCTGGGTGGACGTCATATGATGTCCTCCAGGAACGCGCTCTCCTGCGCGCCCCAGGGGCGCGCACCCGGCGATCTCCGTGATCGCTGTGTCCTACGGACACAGCTGATCACGAGATGTGGTGAAAGGCCGATCCCACCGGCCTTTTACCACGTGATCAGCGGTGTCCAATGACATGCTGATCACAGGAAAATGCAAGTGCCGGTTCTCGGCTGCACTTTCCTCACGCTGTCAGATCGTGAGGAAAGTACTGCCGAGAACCGGCAGTTGTCAGAGCGGGGATCGGCACCGATCATCAGGGCACTGATGATCAGTGCCCTGATGATCGGTGCCCAGCAGTGACCCCCGCAAGTTCCTCCCAGCAGTGCGCCCACTAGCCCCGCCCACCCATGCCCAGCAGTGCCCCCACCCGTGCCCAGCAGTGCCCCCACCTGTGCCCAGCAGTGCCCCCACCTGTGCCACTCTGCAGTGCCACCTACCTGTGCCCAGAAGTGCCACCTACATGTGCCAGCAGTGCCACCCACCTGTGCCCACCCACCTGTGCCCACCAGTGCCACCCACCTGTGCCCACCAGTGCCACCTACCTGTGCCCACCCACCAGTGGTGCCCACCAGTGCCGCCCACCAGTGCAGCCCAGCAGTGCTGCCAGTCAGTGCCACCAGTCAGTGCCCAGGGGTTGTGCCAGTCAGTGCCGCCAGTCAGTGCCCAGAAGTGATGCCAGTCAGTGCCGTCTATCAGTACCCATAATCAGTGTCACCTATCAGTGCCGCCTATCAGTGCTGCATATCAGTGCCGCCTATCCGTGACCCCTAATTAGTGCTGTCTATCAGTGCCGCCTATCCGTGCCACCTCATTAGTACTGCCTATCAGTGCCCTTTAGTGCTGCCTATCAGTGCCCATCAGTGCCGCCTATCAGTGCCCATCAGTGCCGCCTCATCAACGCAAATCAGTGAAGAAGAAAAAATACCTGTTTGAAAAATTTTATAAAAGAAACAAATAAACTTTTTTTTTTTTTTTCAAATTTTTTGCACTTTTTTTAATTTATAGCGCAAAAAGTAAAGTGCCCAGTGGCGATTAAATACCACCAAAAGAAAGCTCTATTTGTGAGAAAAAAATGATCAAAATTTCATATGGGTACAATGTTGCATGACGGCGCAATTGTCAATCAAAGTGCGGCAGCGCTGAAAGCTGAAAATTGGCCTGGTAAGGAAGGGGGTATAAGTGCCTGGTAGGCAAGTGGTTAATTACTATATGGGGGATGAATTACTATATGGGGGATTAATTACTATGGGGGATGAATTACTATAATGGGGATGAATTACTATGGGGGATGAATTACTATGGGGGATGAATTAATATGGGGGATGAATTACTATATGGGGGATTAATTACTATGCTTACTATGGGGGAATATTACTATACTTACTATGGATGACACATACACATCATTCATCTACTCTTGGTCCGGCCCCCGGGTCCAATATATGAACCCATTGCGGCCCTCAAGTCAAAAAGTTTGCCCACCCCTGCCATAGACCCTTCCAAAAGTCGGTAAGCTGGAAGGGGTGGAGACCTAATCTGCATGCTCATGGTAGTCTGGCAAATCCCAGGTTTGGAGGCCCTGGTAGAGTGGTGGACTGACCCATAAATATGGGAGAGTCAGGCTGACAGGGGGGTCGGGTGGAAGATGGAGTGCTGAGGAGACTGTTGATACCTGGAAAAGGTCCCCTAGGTCTAGGCAGGCCGGCCTCCTGGCTGGGCTCAGGCTGGCTCAGGGGGATACATTCAGCAGTGAGGCGTGATTGGGATCAAGATCTGGAGCAGCAGGGAGCAAGGAGAACAGGGTACAGTACAGTACAGGAATCTACAAGGGGAAAGACAGCCACACATAGCAAGCTTTCTAAGGACAGCGCTGGGCTCAATCCCTTATCTTTGTCCCAGGAGAAACCAGGAGGGCTGGTGGTGTTTGCAGGCCGTGTAGCTGGGTACAGCTGTACGGGGGGATTGAAGACATCCCTGCATGTAGTTAGAAGTTAAGTTGATTCTTGAGGGGCTGTTAGTTCCTTGCCCATAAAGGGCTGTTGCTACTGATCCGCAACAACTGATGGCTTTCAGGAAAAGAACAGTCCAGGATCTGCCTTTGTACATAGGAAGGAAGTGTCCCCTTTTGAATGATTCAAGCCAAATGGGCATCCAGTAATCCCTATTTCCCTATCCAAGCTGATTTTCCCCTAATGAAACAACAAAACAAATCCCATGGACTGGTTACTGTATCTTGGATGCAAATCTGTGTGAGAAATACCTGTTGTCTGGCTGTGCGGAGAAAAGCCCTCACAAGGGTAGCGCTACATACAGGGCTGCTGTTTAGAAACCATGGGGCCCCATACAACCAACCTCACAGGGCCCCTTTTAAAGAGAAAAAAAAAACCACAGTTTACTCTGCTTCAGTTATGAATGAACACATTAAGTGATCAGCACCAATCACTCATTGTGTTCATTCAGGAAAGGAAGGGCTGGTTAATGTGACATATTTACTGAACCCTTCCACCACTCTCCATCCTGAAGGATCCTATTGTGTGTTTTGCAGCTGTGTCAGGAAAGTACTCACCGCTAGTGGTGCTGGGGCTCACCTGCTGTGCGGGCTGCAGCATCAGTTCTAACCAGCGGGTGCTTTTCAGCAGCCAGGATCTCACTCCTGCAATCAAGCCATCACCTGAGGCTGATTGCAGCAGGTGTATTTAAGCAGTACCAGGCCTGCAATCAGTGCCTTGGTGTTTTCCCATGAGCCCTTGTTGTTTTGAACTTGTATCCTGTCTTCTACCTGCTTGACTCTTCTGCTCGTTTCTGACCACGACTGAACTCTGCCTGTCCCGATTCTGCTCTCCTTTTTGACCGTCCGTTTGCGTGCCCCTCTGTGCCATATCTGCCCGATTGTTCCTGACCCGGCCTGCCTGACCACTCCACCTCTCCAGCCCTGACTACGCCTGTGTTCCTGTACATATTGATATTAGTTGAAGGTTTGGTTTTTGTTTACTGTGCATTTTGTATATTTGTGCTGCTCTTAACCTCCCTAGCCGTATTCCCGAGTGTAGCTCGGGGTAAAATGTCAGTGCCAAAAGCGGTAACCCCGAGCTACACTTGGGCTTACCATGCGGCGCTGCATAGGGAGTCCCTGCAGAGCTTACCTTGTCCTTTGCTCCCGCAATGTGTCCCCTGCAGCGTCCCCGGCCATCTCCTCCGGCTGATGCTGGCATCCAGCTTCTGTGTTCCGGTCCCTGTGACGTCGGGACGTACAGGCGCCGCCGCCGGCGGGAAATTTGAAAAAAATGTCATTTTTTTCAAAAACAAATTTTTCATAGTAAAACATTGCTGTTTCAACCCATTTCACATACATATTGTCCCTAGTGCTTTGTCCTGTGCCCTGCCTGCATTTTGTCTGTTCTTTCTGCCTGGAAACTGAGAAACGTCCATGGCGTCCAAAAAGTGTCCCTTTAGGTCAAAAGCGGGTTTAGATCAGCTAGAGAACAGCGATAGTAAATCAGAACCACTTGCAGAATTGAGTGATAATGATTCGTGGGGAAATTCGTCATCAGACACTGAAAACGATTTTGCAACTTTGCTCAGCAATGTACGAACTTGGCGCTCTATTTCAAATTTCAGTGTTTTCGGTTTGATTATATTATTGAATTAAATGTATTATTATATTATTATTTTTTATGATTATTTATTAAATTATAATTTATGATTTCGTGTTTCAAATTTTATCATACCCGGGATGTTTACTAGACTCTTGTTCGGACAGATTTCAGTGAGTTATTCCTAAATATTACAGCCTACAATAAAAAAACTACATATTTCCATGCAAAATAATGGTACCGCTTTCAGCACCAAAAATCTGAAATAATCATACCGCTAGGGAGGTTAATAAATTATATTAATATTACATCATTCCTGAAGCCTGCTGTCAGTCCACACATCTCTGGTCATACCTGAAGCTGCAGGTGGGAAGGAGAGGAGGGAAGCTGGCACTGTGGGGGCCCAGGCAGCTGGGTGAATCAGATGTGCACTGGGAGGGTGAGCAGCATGGTGGGTGGGCAATTACCAGACCTGATCCCCTGTATGACTCACTCTGGTTTACTTTAAAACCAGCGGGAGGGAAAGAAGACTAATCCAACTTTCAGATGCTGCAGAGAAAGCCATACAGAGCATCAGTTCCAGTAATTGCCCCCCCCCCCCCCCACTGTGCTGATCAGCCTCCCTGCGCACATCCGATTCACCCAGCTACCTGGGCCCCCCTGCTGGCTTGGGCCCCATACAAGAGGACCTTATCCACGGTCCTGGCTACATATAAAATATATAAAAACAATTACTTTATACACCGCATAACAATACAGTCCAATCACACAATAAATTACATTCATTCTGTGTTATGATGCTTACCATGTTGTGTGGAGTAAAGTTCCGCGAACTATCATGTCATGCAAGATGCCACTTTACTTCGTAAGCATCATGTCATCCCTTAGGTACCAACGAAGTACCTAGTACCGTAATGTCAGATGTGCAGTGTCTAAGCTGGATCCTTGCCCCACACATCCTACATGGCCCCACAAAAAAAACAAACAGTTCAAAAACACTTTAACAAGCAATAGGTTTGATTGGGGATAGCAAGGTTGGATTAGAGGGGAGAAGAGTTCACAAGCCCGAAGCTTTACTGAAGAACAAAGACACATAAGAGAGAATGGGGAAAGAGGAATATCTTCCCAAATGTCCTCTTCCTCTTTAAAATTCATAAGATTATAGTGTCTCAGCACACTGTGGAACAGTCGCCACAGTCCTCAATGGACATCCTCTCTCTCTGGTGGATGAGGCACCCTTAGGTACATCATAAAGTGACCTTAAGGCAACATGTTACCCGCCAGGTGTCATCAATGTCTTCTTGTGCAAATGCACCACAAAATAGTCTCTTTAACACTCCAAAGTGATGGCTGTTTTTAATTACCAGATCACCAGAGTGGGCAAAGGAAACACCTGTTTCTAGTCATGTTGCTCCTTCACTGACCAAAATGCTACAGAATCTCCATCACCAGCAAGGGAATTAGCCTCATTGGTCAAGCCAGCAAGAAAACTGGTGCCATAGAAATGCTATATGAATGATATGCACGGAAGGTCCAGAGTTAACTTTGGGGAGGCATTGCCTCTTCTTGCCTCTCCATGACTTGGGCTTTGACTAACCCCTTTCTTAGTAGCAATATGGCCTCTACAGCAATAGCTTCCACCACTGATTTAGAAATGTGCACTGTGTGTAGTTTCCATATATCTGGTAATAAAACCAGACTTGAAGCATGTAGAAATTTACAAGCTAAAGAGTAGAAATGAACAGAAAAAGTGGTAGCACTGCTGAAGTGTAGTCAGATATTAGTGAGATGCGATTTTATTATAAATGGTATCCTTCCATGTTATCCTTCATAAGACAGTCATAGCACAACTGACAGTCAAAAGCCCTCCCTGGACCCCTCTGACCCAAACAACCTCAGACCCATCTCCCTGCTGCCACTCACTTCCAAACTCCTGGAGCGCTTAGTCTACAACCGCCTAAGCGCCCACCTAACTGACAACAACCTCCTTGATCCACTACAGTCCGGCTTCCGTCCCCTACACTCCACCGAAACCGCCCTCCTCAAAATCACCAACGACCTACTTACCGCCAAAGCCAAAGGCGACTACTCTGTCCTCCTCCTCCTGGACCTCTCCGCGGCCTTCGACACAGTTGACCACCCCCTCCTCCTTAATAAACTATTCTCCCTTGGCGTCAGAGACACCGCTCTCTCCTGGTTCTCCTCTTACCTATCCCGACGCTCCTTCAGCGTTTCCTACAATGGTGCCACCTCCCCTTCCCTCCCCCTCTCTGTTGGGGTCCCCCAGGGCTCTGTCCTTGGACCCCTTCTCTTCTCCATCTACACCTCCTCCCTTGGCAAACTCATACACTCCCACGGCTTCAACTACCATCTCTATGCTGATGACACTCAAATTTACCTCTCCACCCCTCACCTCACCTCCACTTTCTCCGCCCGCATCACTCACCTCCTAAACGACATCTCTGACTGGATGTCGCTCCATTTCCTCAAACTCAACCTCTCCAAAACCGAGCTTCTCGTCTTCCCTCCTGCCCGCGCCCCCCCCCCATCCTATCCAGCACTACTAACATCACCACCATCAATCCCGCCCCGCAAGCCAAAGTCCTTGGGGTCATTCTGGACTCTAACCTCTCCTTCCAACCTCATGTCAAATCACTGACAAACACATGCAGGCTCCACCTCCGCAATATCGCCAAAATACGCACCTTCCTTACCCCAGACACCACTAAACTACTTGTGCACTCCCTGATTATCTCACGCCTTGACTACTGCAACTCCCTCCTCACCGGCCTACCCCAGTGCAAACTCTCCCCGCTTCAGACCATCCTGAACTCAGCTGCCAGACTCATCCACCTCACCAGCCGCTCCACCTCTGCCACCCCCCTCTGCCTCTCCCTCCACTGGCTCCCTATCGCCCAACGCATCAAATTCAAACTACTCACTCTGACCTACAAAGCCATTCACAACACTGCCCCTAACTACCTCACCGACCTGATTCCCAAGTACCACCCTACCCGTACCCTTCGCTCTTCACAGGACCTCCTTCTATCTTGCTCCCTGGTCTCCTCCTCACACGCACGTCTGCAAGACTTCTCCAGGTCCTCCCCCATCCTCTGGAACTCACTACCCCAATCCATCAGACTGTCACCTTCCCTCCTCACCTTCAGGCGCTCCCTGAAAACCCACCTCTTCAGGGAAGCCTACCCCACCCCTCACCTAACTGCTGCTCTCCTTCATTCCTCCTACCACTCCATCCCCCACAGCCACTTCCTCCTGTACCACTACCCCCTCCCTCCCAGATTGTAAGCTCGAAAGAGTAGGGCCCTCTTACCCCTCGTGTGCTGTTCGTAGCTGCTGTAATGTTTCATGTATTGTCCCCCCCTCTATTGTACAGCGCTGAGCAAACCCTTTGGCGCTATATAAACTCAATGTAATGTAATAATGTAATAACTGTTTGGTTATATACCACAATTAAAGACGGCCACCTTGAAATACTACATACACATAATTTCCACAGCAGAGAATGACATCACAAACTGTCATTACGACTAGTCAAGGATGCTCATTAAGATAATATAAAATGAGCTTGTAGATGTTTCCAGAAAGAAAGCAAATGTACGCCTGAGTCTCTGGAAAGATATCACAGGATATTTTCTCATTTGTGTCTGTCCCTCAGGTAGAGCTGTGATGTTGTCTCCTAGGTTGCTCACCTGTGCCTGTGTAGTCATGCCTATGTTTTCCCCTGACACCATAATCTTTATTATCCTTCTCTGGCTCTGCTCCTTCACATGAGGGAAAATGTGATAGTGCTAAGAATCACTTTATCATACTTTAGCATCGTTTATACTGTCTGACTGGAGGAAATAAATATCATCCAATTTTGCTATAGGAAACACTTAGATTTTTATTTTCTTTTAACATGCATCTTTATTTTGACAAACATAAACAGGAGGACCTTGTATGAATATGTGCGCAAAAGGAAAACTCTTGTCATTAAAGTAGAACTATAGGCAAAACTTTTTTTTTTTTTTTTTTCGTTTTGGATAGAGCTAGAGAGGGTATAACCCCTGTCAGATTTTTTGTTTCTGCCATCTGTGTCCATTTGCGGAGATTTCCCTTCACTTCCTGTCCCATAGCCAAACAGGAAGTGAGAGGAAATCCCTGAAAATTATAGAATATCTTGGGGACCCCAGGTAACCAAAACTAGTGTCCCGATTGGAAGATTTCTTCTCTATTACTTCTCTGGGGGCAATCCAAAATTTGGGATTTTCTTTTACTTTCACTTTTAATGATAATGGTAATCAGGACAAATAGAGAGGGTGAATCTTCATAACGGGAACAGACATTACCAAAAACTGACAAGTATTCTAATCCCTCTCCATTCTATCCAAAACTAGACTGTAGTTATACTTTATGTAGCACTACCCCCTTAGGGGTCACTGAGTTTTGGGTCCCCCTACAGCTCTGCACAGTCAGGCAACACGCACAGTCAGTAAACAGTCCTTGAGCCTGGATTTGTGATTTTTATTAAGGTGTTTATAACTTGGTTGGGTTTGAGGGGTGTATGGGATGTGCAAGGAAACTGCAAACCTGAGGACAAACCCCTTAGCAACTATGTATAGATGTGGACAAAATAGTTTCTCCTTTAAGAGCATTCCAGCCCTCTGGTGTACCTCCTCAGACCCCAGATGGATCTGCCTCTTCATCCAGCTGCACTGAGGGTATTCCCTGGGGACCCAGAAACTGCCAATTTAGCTCAGCAGTCCCAAGATGAGAAGCTGGTTGTGTTTTCCACCTGAATGCCCTCTCCCC